TTAGGTCCTAAAACCATCTGGAAATATCCCAACTGGCTGTGCAGCCAGGATTGCTGGCAGTCCACAGCTCTGTTTGTCTCCTAATTCAGTATTTTCATGCAGGTTCCTCTACTAGTTGGAGTTTAGTCTGCTTATATATCCTTCCTTTCATAGCTCCGGGCTCCAGAATTATCTTCTGTATATGTGTCAGTCAGTTTCTCTTCTCTTAATTGAAGAGAGTCTGTGTAGTCTGTCTGCCTATTCATCTTACCAGAACTCCGTATAAATGTTATTTAAAAAATTATATATATCAATGAAAAACATAAGCTATATTATTACTCTAGTCTAGAAAATTGTCACATACTTTAAAATAGTTGTTACCAATTCATCACTCCAGAAGTCCAGCATGGAGTTCATTAGTAATGTTAATACACAGTGAGATAGCAAGATATTTGATAAAAACAAACACAACTTTTTAATGTCCACACATGCTTACAGTTTTGGTAAAAACAAGACTAGGCCTTTAAATCACTTTCATCATTTAGTCATGTAACTTTCAAAATATCTACTTACTATTTACTTGAAAGTTATTTCATTTAGCTACTACTAACTACTGACAAATGTTTGAAGATAGTCTACCCACAATTTTTCCTTTTTTGCAACCATTAGTATTATTTCCAGAGCTCTGGTATCGCAGTGCCTAAGGCACTTGACTGCTAACCAGAAGGATGGCGGTTCAAATCCACCAGCCACTCCTTGGAAGGAAGGTTGGGCAACCTACTGCTGTAGTGATACTGCCTCGGCAACCCAAGGAGGGGTCGCTATGAGTTGGGTCTGACTTGATGGCACATAACAACAACAACAACAACAGTATTATTTCCAAAACTTTTTCATCACCAAAACAGAAATTCTGTACCCATTAAGCAATAACTTCCCTTTCTTACCCTCTCTCCAGCCCTTGGTATCACCTATCTACCTTCATCTCTATCCTTTGCCTATTCCAGATGGTTCATATAAATGGGATCATGCAATATTTGTATTTTTGTGTCTTGGCTTATTTCACTTAGCAAAATGTTTTCAAGGTTCATCCATGTTATAGCATGTATCAGAACATCATTTATCCAGAACTTTTAAAGATGACATTATGTATTTAAAACAGACATTTAAAAAGGACATTAGTTCCTTTGAAACAGTTTTTGATCAGAACTTTTAAAGTAAGTTAAATTGGATTTAAGATGACACAGTTCAAAGGCAGTCTTCTCTTTGCATGATTCAGATATGCATGGATTTTCATTACCATGTTAGTTAAATAATCACTCTTCTAACTACACAGTTAAAATTTTATTTACCAGAGTATAACTGTGGGTTATAGCATAAAGTTTTAACTTTGCTATTAGCTCTTCTGTCTACAAACCATTATGTAAGTAACAGAAGTGCATCAGTGAATGACCAATCACATCATTTCTTTCAAAGTCTGTCAGTAATTGGTCACTGCACATTTGTTAATCAATTCATACACAGAGAGCAAAGTATGTAGTTGTGTTCACTTCTCATCTCCAAGTGATAAACCCATATGGTGTTTTACAAAAATCAAAGGGGGAAATTGGCTAACAAAGAAACAGTTATAATGCTGGAAGTGACATTAGAATCAAAAGTAAATGGAATGGTAGGGGAGACAGTTGACCCTGGGAATGCTGACACTGTTACCATTTCAGAGACTCTTGATATGAAGCTAAAAGTCAGCGAAGGCAAACTTACCAATTTAAACAAGGAAAGTGGTTGTAACACAAGAATGACGATATATCAGAGAAAGTGACACCAGCAAAAAATTTCACATCCATGGAAGTCTTGGAGATATATCAGCACATTGAAAGAACAAAAGATAAAATGCTGATGGTGATCTAAACTTAGAAAGTATTATGACAATTCACCAACTGGAGAAAGGATGCTTGCTTTGTATCAAAAGTTAAGAAGTCCTGGCCAAGATGGCTTCCCTGGAGAATTCTACCAAACATTCACAGAATAACTGACATCAATCCTACTTAAATTATTCCACAACATAGAAAAGGATGGAATCCTCCCAAATTCATTTTAAGAAGCAAGCATAACCCTGATACCAAAACCAGTCAAACCACCACCCAAAAAGAAAGCTATATTTTCCATGAATATAGATGCAAAAATCTTCCACAAAATCCTAGGCAGTAGACTCCAACAACATTATCAACAACAACAACAATAATAATAATAATACATTATGATCAAGTAGGATTCATACCAGATATGCAAGGATGGTTCAACATTAGAAAAACCATCAACATCATTCATCACATAAAAAAACAAAGGAAAAGAACCACATAATCACATCAATCAATGAAGAAAAAGCATTTGATAAAATCCAACACCCATTCCTGATAAAAACTCTCAGCAAAATAGGAATAGAAGGGAAATTCCTCAATATAATAAAGGGTATGTATGCAAAACCAACAGCCAACATTATTCTTAATGGAGAGAGACTGAAACCATTCCCCTTGTGAACAGGAACCAGAAAAGGCTGCCCTCTATCTCTACTTCTATTCAACAATGTATTGGAAGTCCTAGCCAGGGCACTAAGGCAAGAAGGGGAAATAAAAGGCATATGAATTTGTAAGGAAGAAGTCAAACTATCCCTATTTGCAGATGATACAATCCTATACATAGAAAACCCAAGAAACACGCAAGAAAACTACTGGAACTAACTGAAAGATTTAGCACAGTGGCAGGATACAAGATCAACATAAAAAATGAGTTGGATTCCTCTACACCAGCAAAGAAATCTCTGAAAAGGAAATAAGGAATACAATACCATTTACAATAGCTACCAAAAAGATAAAATATTTGGGAATAAATCTTACCAAGGACATGAAATACCTATACAAAGAAAACTACAAAACACTACTTCAAGAAACCAAAGAGATGTACATAAATGGAAGAACATACCATGCTCATGGATAGGAAGAATGAACATTGTGAAAATGCCAATACTACCCAAAGCAATCTATACATGCAATGCACTCCCCGTCCAGATTTCACTGACATTCTTTAAGCACATGGAAAAACCAATCACTAATTTTATATGAAAAGGAAAGAGACTGTGGATAAGCAAACCACTGCTGAAAGAAGTAGGCTGTCTCACACTCCCAGATCTCAAAACCTACTATACAGCCATAGTAGTTAAAATAGCCAGGTATTGGTACAATGATAGACACACAGACCAGTGGAACAGAATTGAGAACCCAGAAATAGATCCATCTATCTATGATCAGCTGACCTTTGACAAAAGGCTGAAATCCATTAAATGGGGAAGGGATAGTCTCTTTAACAAATGGTGGTGGCAACAGTGGATATCCATTTGTAGAAAAATGAAACAAGATCCATATCTCACACTATACACAAAAACTAACTCCAGATGGATCAAAGACTTAAATATGAAACCTAAAACTATAAAGTTCATCAAAGAAAAAAATACAGGCAAACTTAGGGGCTCTAATTTATGGCATAAATAGACTATCAAGCATAACTCCAGATGCACCAACAGCAGAAGACAAACTAGATTATTGGGACCTCCTAAAATTTAAATTCTTATGTGCATCAAAAGATTTCTCCAAAAGAGTGAAGAGAACCTAAAGATTGGGAAAAAATATTTGGCAATAACATATCTGACAAGGGACTTATTTCTACAATGTATAGAAAACTTCAACACATTAACATTTTTTTTGATAAAAGAAAAACAATCCAATTAAAAAATGGGCAGAAGACATGAATAGACACTTAACCAAAGAAGATAATCAGTTAGCCAGTAAACACATGAAGAAATGTTCACAATCATTAGCCATCAGAGAGATGCAAATCAAAACAACAGTGACATACCATTTTACCCCAGCACTAAAAGCAAAGTCCAACAAGACAGAAAATAACAAATGCTGGTGAGACTGTAAAATGATACAACCACTATAGAAATCAGTATGGTAATTCCTTAAAAAGTTGGAAATAGAAATACCCTTTGATTCAGCAATCATATTACTATATATATCCTAAAGAAGTGAGAGCTAGTATATGAATAGATATTGACAGCACTATTCACAATAGCAAAGAGATGGAAACAACCTAAGTGTCCATCAACCGAGGAATGGCTAATCAAACTATGGCACATACACACAGTGGAGTGCTATGCAGTACTAAAGAATAATGTAGAATCCACGAAACACTGCATAATGTAAATGAACTGGGAGGACATTATTCTGAGTGACATTAATCAATCACAGAAGGACAAGTGTTATATTAACCCACTACTGTAAAAAGTCAAAGAAAGGTTTACATAATAGAAGGAAACTTTATTGGTTACCAGGGATGGGGGAGGGTGGAGGAGAGGGAAAATTGCTAGATAGGTAAGAGATAAGCATTGATTAAAAAAAGTTACAGAGTGAGACAGAGGCAAGCACTGTTCAAACTATTTGCTATAAGTTTTTTTTTAAACAAAAAAAATCAAGCACTTTAATTCTCAATGTTTTCAATTATAGTGCACTAAATAAATATTAGTTTTACCATTTTTCCCATTTCCCCATATATTTATAACATGACAAATATTTTTAACGGTTCCAGAATAATGGTTATTTCTCCTATTATTAAGCTCTCTTTGTATGGTTTTGGCTTACATGTTATTTTTACAGTTCTGTATTACCAAGCAAAACAAGGATGGCTGTACTACTATAGATATACCTATAGGATACATCTCCTATAGATATAGATATACATATGTCAGTGTATTCAATTCTGAAGTAGGTTTCTGAATTTTAATACTTGTTTGATATTTGTAAATTAACCCTTTAGTCTTAATTAACCAGTTATTGGCCAAGTTTGATTTAACGAGACTAAAAAATTTTTAAAATTTTAAAACAATAATAATAAAAGAAACAATGACCAAATACCATTAACCTACAGATAAAATAGCAACTTCTACCATTGATCACACATAGTACACTTACCTTTTCAAGCCAGTAAAGAGATGTGTGAAAAGTTGAAGATCCAAAATTTTCCCCTGAGGATGGTGAAGGGTAAGGGTGTGGTAAATTTAATCCCAAGTAAAGAACAAATGGTTGAGTATAATTAACTGCTTCCTTTCTTAGCCAATTTACTGCTCTGTCTGTATTTTTCCAGTCCTTTTCCATCACTCTTATTTTAGTCTTATTAGGGATAAGATTAACCATCGGCCGGCCTTCTTGTCTGAGTAAGAAAGCAACATTTCTTGTCCATGCTTCCACACGATTGCTGTAGGGCAAAGAGACAGGTGCACTGTAAGGTATTAAATCATTTTTCAAACTGGCTAATCATACACATAAGAAAACAGTATGTAAAGTGATTTTTAGACTCAGTCATGTAAATATTCAGAATAAAATTATACTACATGTCAATAAAAAGCTACTCAGCATTGCAAATTCAAAAACCTGGAATAAAAAGACTCAAATATTCACATACATGTTATTTAAAACTATGGTAAATTACTTAGAAAGGATACTTTTTGTTAAAACAAGATAATTAGTGAAAAAAGTGTCAGATTCCTAGTATTTCTCATTCACTGAATTTTCTATTATTTTGTCCTTTTTCTGTCAGAACAAGGTATATTTCTAACCAAAACCCAAACCAAAACCTAACTAACTGCCATTGAGTCACATCTGACTCACAGCAACCCCTCCTTGGGTTTCTGAGGCACTATCACTACAGGGCAATCTACTTCTGTAGTGATAGTGCCTCGGAAACCCAAGGAGGGTCGCTATGAGTCGGGTCTGACTTGACAGCACATAAGAACAACAACAACATCACTATGGAAGTTTGCCTAATCTTCCTTCTGAGGAGTGGCTGGTGGGTTTGAACCGCCAGCCTTCTGGTTAGCAGTCAAATGCCCTAGGCACTACACCACCATAGCTCCTATTTCTAACCAAAGGTACTGTAATTTCCTTATATCACTCTCTTTATATTTTTAAAATCTTACCTCTCATGTGTACTTCAAATGCTTCAGCATTCTCAATGTTAAATTGTTTCCAGATGTATCTTTTCTCATTATGTTGGTTGTTGTTAGAACAGTTTTATTTGTGATCAGAGCCTTCTAAGCTACTAGTGATACAAATTTCTTACCCATTAATTAAAGATATTTTCTTTACTAGCTTATTTAAAAGTTAAATGATTCAATCAACTCAATTTCTCCAAATCTTTAGTCTATTTTATCTTACTAGTTGATTTTTTCAATCAATATCTAATTAACTGGCATAATTACTTGGGAAGAAATGTTGGACATTTCTAAGAAGCTTGTTTTTGTAAGTTTTGGTTGAGGCAAGTACCTGTGAAGTGCCCTATCAATTAAAAGAATTTTAAAAAATTCAGATACCAACTTAAAAACCAATACTATTTTATATTACAACTTACACTCCACTTATGAGAAATTTCAATCCATACAAAATAACTTAGGGCCCCAAGATGAGCGAAAGCAAAACAAAACAAAATTTTACATGCCCTAGAAAGTGAGTAAAAAAAATTAAGCTGCTGTAAGATATCATTTTTCCATAGTAGATATTCAATATGTTTTGATAAAATTATTGAAAAATATAGTTTCAACAGAATTACATATTATATCTGACAGATGGAAACCCTAAGATAGAAAGCTTGAACAAAAGTACCACATCATCAAAACAACATACCATTAGTTTCTCAGTGTTTTCCTTAAATCATTGCTGATATCTCATTATGTGATCCTTAGAGTTATTACAGAAGAGTGGAATTTCAGGGGTTCTTAATACCAGCAGTATTCCTGATAGAGCTCAAGGTTTTGAGATGAAAACAACTGGGCATTAAGATACATAAATTCTGTTCAGGAACCAAAAAGCTTTTTTTTTCAATAAAGAAATATACATGGGAAAATATGGCTGAGAAATTGTAAGACTGTAAGACAACTTAACTAGTGGCCATCTTTGGATTACCTCAGGAGTTTACCCTAAAGTGAAGTCAAGAGTGAGTCTTGCTGTTGTTAGGGGCCATTGAGTCTGCTTCAACACACAGTGACATGTGCAACAGAACAAAACACTGCCCAGTCCTGCACTGTCCTCACAATCATTGCTGTTTGAGCCAGTTGTTGCATTCACTGTGTCAATCCCTCTTGTGGAGGGTTTTCCTCTTTTTCTCTGACCCTTTACTTTACCAAGTATGATGTCCTTCTCCAGGGACTGGTCCCTCCTGATAACATGTCCAAAGTAAGTGAGACAAAGTCTTGACAGCCTTGCCTCTAAGGAGCACTCTGGCTGTACTTTTGCCAAGATAGATTTGGTCATTCTTCTGGCAGTACATGTGTACTCAATATTCTATGCCAACGCCATAATTCAAAGTCATCACTTCTTCCATCTTCCTTATCCACTGTCCAGCTTTTACATGCATATGAAGCAATTGAAAATACTATGGCTTGGGTGAGATGTACCTCAGTCTTCAAGGTAACATCTTTGCCCTTTAACACTTTGAAGAGGTCTTTTGAATCAGAGTTGCCTAAGGCAGTAGTACGTCCTTTGATTTCTTGACTGTTGCTTCCATGGGTGTTGACTATTGATCCAAGTAAAATGAAAATTTCAATCTTTTCTGTTTATAATGATGTTGCTTATTGATTCAGTTGTGAGGATTTTTGTTGTCTTTATGTTGAGGTATAATCTATACTAAAGGCTACCGTCTTTGTTCTTCATCAGTAAGTGATTCTACAGCATCTCAAGGAAAGATATTGTAGCCTTGAAGGATGACTGTACTGAACCAAACTCACTTTATCTTTTGTCACAGTAATTTCACTTTTCTGTTAATATACTTATGCCCTCCTTTCTCATTATTAAGGAGCCCTGGTTGTGGAGTGGTTAAGCGCTTGGCTGCTCACTGAAAGGTAGGCAGTTCAAACCCCTTAGCTGCTCCATGGGAGAAAGATCTGGCAGTCTGCTTCCACAAAGATTTACAGCCTTGGAAAGCCTGCAGGGAAGTTCTATTCTGCTCTATAGCTTTGCTATGTGTAGGAATCAACTCAGTGGCAGTGGGTTTGTTTGGTTTGGGATTTTCCTATTATTATTATTATTTTGCTCTATGACTTCCTGAGATTCTTTTAACCCAGGTCTCCTTGTAGGGAAAAGATTCAAGTAATTTTGGCCTACTGTTATTATTATGTCTAGATTTCAAACTTGGCTTTATTCATATTCTCTTAGTAAATAATATGTGACTTACCTTACCCTACCATTTTAGTGGTACCCTCTTTTGTCTACTCATGAATACTTGTGCCTTTGACATGATTTCTTTAACTTCTGGTACTCAAGTAGAGTTTCAACAAATACTTCAGCATTGCTATTGCAGCAGGGGCAAGATTATGGTTGAAATAATTTCTCTCATATTTTTTTCCCCTCTTTTCTGGCTATCCCAAGAATCTTGAGAAATCCAGCTAATTAAGAGGGTAACAACACTTTGATCAGTTACTTGACCCATGGTTAGGCGCTGTGCCTAAATGTAACAAATGAGTTCTTTACTTCTTTTCAACTTAAAAAACCAAACCAAACCAAAACAACCCACAGCCATTGAGTTGATTTGGACTCAAAGTGACCCTGTAAAACAGAGTAGAAATGCCCCATAGGGTTTCCAAGGCTGTAAATCTTTACTGAAGCAGATGGCCTCATCTTTCTTCCATGGAGGATTTGAACCTCTGACCTTCTGGTTAGCAGCCAAATGCCTTAACCACTACACTATCAGAGCTCCTAAGCATAACTTAAACAGAAAAGTGAAAAAGACAAAAGTATAAAGTAATTCATAAACTGAAGACAGAGGAGCTTCTATGTGTCATTTTGTCAGACTACATTAAGTGAGCCTTCCTAGAATGACCCAAGGTCTACTTCAATTTTCTGTAGAAATGTAAGAGGGCTTTCTCTTCTCAAAGGAACAAAAAATGACATTCTTGATAAGGTTCTCACAATTGGTTACATCTTGCCGTAACCAATTGTGACAAGGTACAGGTCTTGTATCTTGCTACTCCAAGTGTGGTCCATGGATCAGCAGCATGAGCATCGCCTGAGAGCTTCTTAGAAATGTAGACCGTCAGGCCCCATCCCAGATCTACTGAATCAGAATGGACATTTTATAAGATGCTCAGGTGATTTATTTGCATATTAAAGTTTGAGAAGCATAACAATGTAAGAATTCTTCCCTCAAATTTGCAGGATAATCGAAATAGAGTAATCCACAGTAGCCCATGAATAAGAGAATTATTGTACTTTAGTTTGACTATAGAAAACAAGGCAATGGCCAAACTACTAAATAATCAGCAGTTGGATTAGTTCTTTTGAGCAACAACAAAAAAACTCTTCACTAATGTACATGGAAAATAAAGCTATCCAACACATTACTAACTAGTCATTTCAGAAATTTGTATACATGCCACTGCTGTGTGGGTTTTTTGTGCCAATGCGAAAATTAACCTACTGTCATTGAGTCCATTCTGACTCACAGTGATCCCCCCATTGGGTTTCCAAGGCTGTAAATATTTACAGAAGTAAATTATCTCATCTTCCTCCTGCAGAGCAGCTGGTGGGCTTAAACTGTCAATCTTCTGATTAGCAGCCAAATGCATTACCCATTATGCCAACAGAATCACTGCTATAATACTGGCTTGAAAGTCTACATTATTAAGGAGCCCTGGTGATGCAATATGGGGGCTCTAGTGGCATAGTGCTTAAGGCATTTGACTACTAACCAGAAGGCTGGCAGTTCAAACTCACCAGCTACTCCTCGAAAGGAAGACTGGGCAATCAACTTCTATAGTGATATCACCTCAGAAACCCAAGAAGTGGTCGTTATCAGTTGGATCCAACTGCACAGCAGTGAGTTTGGTTTGGTTTTTTGGTGATGCAATGGTTAAGTGTTTGGCTGCTAACTGAAAAGTTGGCAGTTTGAATCCACAGCTGCTGTGCAGGAGAAAGATGTGGAAGTCTGGTTCTGTAAAGATGTACAGCCTATGGGAAAGTTCTACTCTGTCCTATAGGATTGCTATGAGTTGGAATCAACTTGAAGGCAATGGGATGGATCTACTGTGTTAATTGGCAAGGTGTGGTAATCGGACCTAAGGATAGCCGATATTAATCTGGTCAGCAAATACGAAGGGGCCTGGAATGGAATAAGAGTTGGGTCTATCATCCTAATTCACAGAATTTGAATTTGAAAGAAAAAAAATAATCAGGTAACTAGTAGCTAGAGTTACAGCTGAAAGGACA